TGCCGAAGCGTTAAGTTGATTCTTCCCCGTTGGCTCATTCTAGTCCCATCGGTCTTGTTCACTCTATCGCCCGCTAATGACGAAGCCTTGGATGCTGGATTTTGTTCTCATTTGTCGTGAAGCGAATGCTGCAGCTGACTGTCTCGCCAAATTTCCTACGACCAGTGATGGCCTGATTCGTATCTTCTCTGATGCACCCAAAGAAATCATCGCCTACACTGCTCGGACCTATATGGTCCTGGTTTCGTCCGTTTTTAATCTCCTTTTGAATGGTCATTAGCCTCTTTTCATTAAAAAAACAAGTCGCCTTCAAGGAAATGTCAATAAAACGAAAACAGGATATGTCATTTTCTATTTCATCCTCAAAATATTTGGTAATTAGATTTGTTTGCAGTAATGCTATATTTTCCTTTTATTCAATTCAATTGCTTATCAATTAGAGTTTGTGCTCTAATAGGATATGAAATCATGTAATCGTTCAGTTTCAGATCGGATCATGTCAGGTCAGTTAAACCAGATACGAGTTATGTCAGGTCATTTAATGGTTCAATTCGGATTAGGTCAGGTTTAAGTCGAATTAAATCGAATCATTTTCAAGTTGATTTGAAATCAGATTCAGTTTGGGTTCGGGTCAGGTTAATTTTAGTTCTGATCAATATCGGTTCAGGTCAAAACGATTTAAGTCTGAATCAATTTAATATCAAGTTAATTCAGGTTCAGATGGGCTTCAGGTCGAATATGGTTTAAATTGGGTCACGTCGTTAATAGATAAAATCCAGGTCAGATTTTACCAAATACTAGTAGACTTTAGGTTAGGATATTTTTGGATGAATTATTTTTTGTCTTTCATGAAATTCGAATGTAATTTACAATTGTATAGATTTGGAGTTAAATTACAAAAAATATAATAATTACGGGCCAATTTTGATGAAAATTAATTTTAAGGACTAAATTGAACAAAATGAAATTACAAACTGAAATTCAAATAAATTAAACAACACAAAGGGATCAAATTGAAATAATTCTAAAATGTGAAGTTGAAATTAATTTAAAATGGACTAAATTGCATCCATTTAAAAAGTTTGTGAAAATAATTTTATAGGATTTAGAGATTATAATATAATTTATAGGGTTTGAAATTAAATTTATGATGTGATTTATTTAGAGTAAATTACAAAAATAGAAATAATTTTGGGCTAATTTAGGATAAAAATATAATTTTAAATACTGAATTGAACAAATATAAAATTATAAACTAAAATTAAAATAAATTAAATAACACGTAGGGATCAAATTGAAACAAATGTAAAATATGAAGCTGAAATTAGTATAAAAAATAGACTAGATTGCATCCATTTAAAAAGTTGATGAACAAAATTATATTGAGTTTGAAGATTATGTTATAATTTACAAGTTTTAAAATAAAGTATATGATGTGATTAGTAGGTTTGGAGTAAATTAAAAAAATATTAATAAGCATGACACAATTTCAGATAAAAATATATTTTAAGGACTAAATTAAATAAAAATGAAATTATAAAATGAAATTTAAATAAATTAAATAACATGCGGGGATCAAATCAAAATAATTGTAAAATGTGAAACTGATATTAATATTAAATTAAACTAAATGACATTTAAAAAGTTTAAAAACTGAAGTTTAACGTGTTAATCAATATTTTTATTTAGAAAATATTATAAAATATGGTTGTATGAACGGAGATTTTATTTCCAAACAAGAAGTGAAGGTGAGGCAGTCGATGCAGAAGTGCTGTTAGGGGTGTTCATTCGGTTAAAACGGTGGCCGACCAAACCGAATTAACCATAACCGAATTAATTAAACTTTTTTTTCTTTAACCGTTAAACGAACCGAATTTTTTTTCGAACATATTAATCGAACCGAATTTTTTTTCGAACATATTAACCGAAAAAGTTTATAATTAATTTAAATAATATAATTATAAAATAAAATTTTAGATAAATTTTTTAATTAATTAATTTGATTTAAGTTTAAAAGTTATTGGATCTTAAATTATTAATTGGGTTTTAAATGGTTTGGGCTTAGCCCATATGTTATATATAATATTTAATATTTTTAATTAAAAAACAATTTACAAATAATTTAAATAATATATAATTATAAAATAAAAAATTTATATAATTTTTAATTAATTAATATTGATTTAAGTTTAAAATTTATTGGATCTTAAATTATTAATTGGGTTTTAAATGATTTGGGTTGAACCCATATGTTATATATAATATATTTAATATTTAAAATTTAATTTCGGTTAATTAACCGAATTTGAACCGAATTAACCGTTAATCGAATTCTAAAAATTTTCTTAACCGTTAACCGACCGAACTAATTCGGTAACCGAACCGAATTAACCGAACTAATTCGGTTCGGTCGATTAACCGAATTAGTTCGATTATTTGAACACCCCTAGGTGCTGTTGTGACTTGTGAGGATGAAGGTTGGGTGGGGATTGCGGATTACGGTTTGGTATTGGATTTTAGGTTTAATTTTTTATATAGGTAAATTACAAATTTCATCATTGAATTTTACTCTCTCCTATTTCGCTCACTAAATTTTAAAGGTTTTCAATTTGCTCACTGAACTTAACACATTGCATTTTTTGTCACTAAACTTTATTTTCTCTCTTATTTTGGTCACTCCATTGTTAAATAGTTAACGTTGTTAAAAACGGTGCCATTAAAAAAATAAAATTTCACTAAAACAACATCTTTTTGCATCTATATAATAGCCCATTTTAACTCCGTTAACTAATTAACGACTGAGTGACCCAAAAACCTAATGTATTAAGTTCAGTGAGAAAATTGAAAAGATTTAAAATATAGTGACTGAAATAGGAGAGAGAGTAAAGCTCAGTTATCAAATTTGTAATTTACCCTTTTGATATTCAGGGTTTGGATTTAAGATTTTGGTGTCTTATTTTATATTTTAATTTAATATTGTGTGGTGAAAATATTAATTTAATATGTTACATCATAGAACAATGTTAATAAAATAAGTGAGAATGATTAAAATAAGTGAGAGTAAGTTCAGGTGCGCGACGCGGGTAGGTTCGAATTTGTTCAGGCGAAACCTTTAAAAGGGAGGGCAACTAAAACAAATATAAGAAATTTAAAATTTAAGTGATCAAATTAAAAAAAATAAACTTTAGTGACTGAAATAGCTGTGAGAAGAGAATTGAATGATGAATGGTGTAATTTACTATAAATTAGATATAAAATTATTGTTCAAAGATCTATATAATGTTTTAGTGACTAATTTTTTTTTTTTGAAACTTCAATGGACAAAATGAAAATTTACTCAAATATTAACGTCATGTCAGCAATCCGTTAAATGTTTAACGATAATTAACAATTAGTGATCACATCTTAAATAAAACTTTAGTGACTGAATAGTGTGAGAAGAGAATTGAGTGATGAATGGTGTAATTTACTATAAATTAGATATAAAATTATTGTTCAAAGATCTATTTTAGTGACTAATTTTTTTTTTTGAAACTTCAATGGACAAAATGAAAATTTACTCAAATATTAACGTCATGTCAGCAATCCTTAAAATGTTTAGTGATCACATCTTAATTAAATAAAAACAAAAGTGACCAAATCTTAATTAAATTAAAAATGAATGTAATAAAATCTTATTGAAATAAATATGAATGTTATCAAATCTTAATTAAATAAAAATGAAAGTGACCATTTTTCTTAATTCGTGAGAAAAGTGTACGGAAAAAACAAAATGATTAATTATGTAGTTTACCCTTTAATATGTATTAAGGTATAATTAAACTGTATGCTTTAAAACGCTTCTTATTCAGATATATTTCTTTTAATAAATGAAGTTTTTAAGATTTTTCTAAACATTGAATTGTATTCTGAGTCATTCTGGTCATCAATGTAACCTAAGACCCTACAACACGATTAACATTGGACATCTTCTTAGAGCATGATTTTGAGACTCCATCGTACAAAATTACTAATTCGAAAGGTAAATTTTTTTATATAATCAATGGATGCATGTGATAAGAATAAATTAATTAATTTAATGCATACATGTACCAGAATATATGGATAATTTAAAATAGTAAATTTAATGGAAATTATTTGCTGTTATCTTGCATATGATGCAAACCGAGATATAGGTATTAGGCGAAACATATCACGACTCAAGTTCGATTAGGTTTAAAGTCAGTTAACACTGAATAAAATGAATTCTACTCAAGTTCTTAATGAATCAAAACGAGCTAATTAATATCCGACTCAAAAGTTCACGAACAACTTGAAAAAAATAATATATTAAATTTTAATTTTTAAATTAAATATTAATAATATTAAGATTTTTATGTTGTTTAAAAAATACATATAAACTTTTCATGTTCTTAAAGTTCAAGGTCGAGTTCAGCTTTAATCGATTAAGTTTGAAAATGTTTCGAATTCAATTTTTTTTTAAACTCGAGTAAAATATCAAGTAGCTCGTGATATTTTTTTTTAAAAAAAACATAAGCTCGCGAGCATACAAGTCGAGTCGAGTTCAATTTTAAATTTTTCTAGCCAGGTTGAGCTCAACAATACTCGAGCTTGACTCGTCTTGTTTACTGCCCTAAAGGCCGTAGTATAACAACAGAGAAAGACGGATGAGGAGAGAGATGGCATACAGTAAATTAATGCTACACTATGAGTTCAATAGTGTCAAATACATCATCAATAAGCTCACGTGGAATGCTTCAACCAAGACACGCTAATCAAAAACATGAAATCAGCATAACAGCACAACATGCATGACATATTTAGACACGGGTAACGTAATAGACATGACATGTTTCATACACATTTGTGTGGTGTTATGTTCTACACAGCTAATACGTAACAAAAACAAGACATGACAGTATACATAGATTGCTATTTCTTCATTCCTCATTTTTCTGATCTGAAAAGAAAAGATTGAAGACATAACCTTGCACTGGCTGCAGCTGTCATGGATCTTCATCTTCTCTTTTGTAGCAGCAAGTGCAACAAGATAAGCTTGCCTTCTTCCATTTCAGCATCTCTTTGTCATCGACATCATCCTGTTTATACCAAAAGCCGATTCCTCGTTACTAGATGACCAATGAATCCACACTTAGGCATTTGAAACCGTCAAACAGCGTAAGTTAGACATAAAAGCCAGGGAAATCAAATTAGAGTAGTTCGATATTAGGCATAGGATAGGGAACATACCATATAAGGGAGAGGATCTAAATGGTATGTTCTAGATCACAGTCATCAGCATCTGTAGTGGGATTATTCTTTGTCAAACCATTTAGAAACGTCATAAATGTTGAAATTCTCCTCGCATGGAGTCAATAATATTTTGCATCTCTCCACCTGTTGCTTTGATGTCATTGCTTCCCACTGCGTCTTTTCCAGGGCAGCCTGCTTGTCTGCAAGTTAATCTGAGGAAAACCATAATTATCAGTACTGATATGGAACAAGAGGCAGTTCACAATGAATATATTTTATGACACTAAGTAATCAACTGACTCATCGATAGACAAAGTACAAAACAGAAATTGGAAAACAGAACCAGATATGCTGCAACCTTTCATAATGGATGATACAGGTATTTTGAAATCAATAAATACTCACATCAGATAACCATTGACAGAAAACAATTACAAAAATCTTCAACATCTTCCACCACTACATGTAATTCGTGTAGTTGACTCTGGTTCTGTTTATGTCAATTATGGAATGATTCCTGATCCTAGCTTCATAATCTTTAAACAAGTATAACACACATAAGCTCCAGATTCACAAACAGGTCTCACTGTTCCCATCAAAGTATCAAGGATAATATGAAAAGGTTATTACAATGAATATTAGATGAATCATTTAAAGTAATATTTATAGCAAAAGAGACATGATATATGTATACCTTGGCATCAGAGAGTTGCATCTGAATAGATTTAGTCAAAGAGTCCTTCTCCACGGCATGTCGCTTCAATCTATCAAGTTCCGTGTGAGTCTTATTGATCTCATTCTTTGAAATCTCTGCTGATTTCAAAAGCTCATCTTTCTCGAACAACTTTCTTTGCAGATCCTCCAGCTGTTCCCTCAATGAAATTAACTCTCATTTACTTTTTCCGTAGCCAAAGCCTCTGAAGAAACTTTGAGTAGTTGTCCCCATCCTGATTATTAGTACCATTCTTGTCCACTTGATCTTTTTCTTTCTCATCCTCCCTTTATGTCGCTAACCTTTGTGAATGAAAGAAAAAATTATAGAACAAACTAAAATAAAATAAAAAATTCGTAAGTAAAAACAAGTGCTCATAAAGATCCTATTGGCTATAGAGTCTTTTTCAAAATCCTACTATGAACTTACTTTAGAAATTTTCCCAACACAACAAAGATGTCAAATTATCCTACCACATCACGATAGAGATTCGTAAAATAGTGACATAGAGAGTCTATCGAGACATTATGTTCATACTAAAAGCACCAATTCCAATTGGCTATGCCTAACTAAAGTTCATAAAACACTAATACAGTAAAACATACAAAGATCTATAATGGATTCAATCTGTGAACTCAAAGTAACATAAACAGTCAGTAAATCATAAAATTGGCAAACTCTAATTCACTAACAGTATAAGCCTATTTATGCCAGTAATACACAATTCCACAAAGTAAATACAAAATGTTAAATTGAAACCAGTATGTATTATATATTAATATATATATTCTCACTTTCGAGATAAGGATTCCCTGGAAGGGGTTTTGGTGTATATCATTGAACCACGCCTTGTAAATGAATGTTTGCTTTCTGCTCCTGATCAAACAAAAGGTTAACAAATAAATTAAATTTTAAAAAAATAAACCAATTTTCGCAGTTTTAATTAACGGAAGGATAAGCAAAATAATTCTTCTTTTCTCGCCAGATTCCTCATATTCTTCATTAATTTCAAAATAAAAAGGAGGGGGCGGAGTAAACAGAGAGGGGAAGAATACAATGAGGGACTGAACGAGAGGGATCATCTCGACGAGATCGTTGTAAAGGGCGAGATCCAAATTGGATTAGAGTAAGAGAGTGAGGGCTGAGTTCGGGACGAGTTGCCGCCGTTCGTGATGTTGTGATTATCGGAAAGCCAGGATTGGTGAAACTCGAATTTTCTTGTAAATCTACGAAGCGTTGCTGCTCAAACATTTTTCTTCCTTCCAAAAGGAATAAACAAAGAGGAATTTCAAGTTTGAGATAGTGAGTGAAGAAGAAGAGAAGTTAAAGATGGCTCTGCTTTTCAAAAAAAAATCGTTTTTGCCCGTTTCTCTTATTGACAACGGATCTTTCTGCTATTTGGAAGGGTATTGCAAATTACAAAAGTACCCTGTCTGCTATTTGAACGTGTGGTACTAGTTATTAAAGATTTTTTTATTAGGGTAATCATAACCACCAATTATCTAACACTTTTTTTTTTATTATCGACCATTTTAATTTATTATTGATTTTTTAATTTTATTAATCAGATTATCTAATAATTTAATGTATTTAATTAAACCATTAACCATTAATAATTAACGAAAAACTGATGTGGCGTGGCACTTTAATAAAGTGACATATACTTATACATTTAGTCATTAATATTTATATATTATATTAATTTAATCTTAATTTTAATTTAATTAATAAATTTAACTAATCAAATTGTGATACATTTCACAAATAATTGAATTTTTTAATTTTAATTATTTTTTTCATCCAATCAGATATTAACACGTGTCACCATTGGGTTGGATAGAAAATTAGCAGGAAAAAAGAATAAAATATGTGAGAACAGTAAGACTCAAACAAGGGTTTCTTGAAATCAAATCAGCACTTAAGCCACTAAGGTAAACCCATTACTTAATATTAAAATGGCTGAATGAAATGCTGTTGCAGTTTTTCATTTGTAAAATTGATGCCAAACTACAGATAAAGAACTTATTAAATTCATTTATTTGTACGTAAAGGAAAATGTCTTAACCTATTAAACTTAAAGCTCTCGAATCCATAAATATCAAGTACTCCAATCAATTGCTTGAAGCTTTTGGAAATGCCAGAACTATCAGGAATAACAACTCAAGGTTGAAAAGTCACAACCTTCTTCAAACATGATAGCTTACTCTGCTCCTCGCTTGTAATATCAAAGGCCAGTTCATGTTTTACATCTTGGGAATGTTGAGTTTGCTAAGGGAGCTGAGGCTGACTCTGTTATCAAGGACGAGAAATCTAGGTTCCATCTTAGTTGTTACCCCCGGTGATTATTAAGAGATTATTTTCTGCCATTTGTTGAAATATGTTATACTTTGAATGATGCATTTGAATACCAAGTAATGGGTTTACCGTTAGCTTAAGTGCTGATTTGAATTTCAAGAGACCCTTGTTTGAGTCTCACTGTTCTCACATGTTTAGTTTTCTTCTATTAATTTCTATCTAATCTGATGGTGACACGTGTCATTATCTGATTGGGTGGAAAAAATAAAATAATTGAAATTAATAAAACATCATCCAATTATAGTGAACGTCTGATCAAATGATTAAATTTATTAAAAACTAAAATTAGGATCAATTAATATAATATATAAATATTAAGGACTAAATGTATAACTATGTCACTTTATTAAAATACTACATCAGCATTTCCGTCAAATTCTAATGATCAGTGACTTGATTGAATAATTAAAAGTTAAGTGATTCAATTAACAAAATTAAAAATAAACAGCAATGTTATAGTTATTTTTTTTATTCTAGATTGACCCTAAGCAGTATTATATGCTAGTTTCAGTCCAAATGGGCACCTTTTACACGTTGACTTAAATTTAATTGATAATTACGATAGATTTATTATAATTTTGATAATTACGATTGATTTTATTATAATTTTGATAATTGAAAATTAGTTAATAATTAAATTATTTAATATAAAAAAGTTATGGAGTAACACATTTTTTGTGTTCAAATTTATTTTTGAAATAATAGAGCCTAAAGTATTTTTTTAGAATTTTGAGAGATAATTATTTGAAAAGACTAATTATTTTTATGATATATGTAATTATTAAGGTTTATGTTGTTACATAGATAAGTTTTAAAGATACCAAGTGTGTTTTGAGATACATCGAATTTTGAGATATATATCTAGGGATAAGAATTTGACTCGAATTCGATGAGTTTAACATGACCTGATCTAATTCGAGTTTGTTTCCTAAAAACCCGGGTTCATGTATAGTTTTTTGAAGGGTGAGATCAGTTCAAGTCAAGTTCGATTTTAGTTAAAAAATCTTTAAATCTATCTAAGATTAAAGTATAATTTTCTTCTATATATTTAGCGATAATTTCTCTCTCTCTCTCTCTATATATATATATATATCCAATTAGGTCTTTATTTTGTCAAAATAAAGATAAGAAACTTATATTTGTGTCAATTTCGGATGTGAGTTTTATCTCAAAATTTAGGTAGGGTGTAATCCCCTAAATTTGAGTTGAGTTTAGATGGAGTGGTAAGCTTGGGTCAAGTTGATCAAAAGTCCAACCCATTTTGTCCCTATATATATATACTATACTAATATGAGCATCTACGTTTTATTAAAATTATATACATATATGTGAAAAAAATATAAAAAAATTTAAATATTATAAGTTTCTAAAATACCTAAATATAAAATCAGAAAAATTGAAATACTAGTTCAACTTTTAGGGAAGATATGTATCTAATATATAAATATTCACTTAGATTGTCATGTTTAATTATTATAAAGTTAATATTTTGATATGGTAATAATTTTTTAAGTATATTTTGATACATTCTTATATTGTTAATTGTGAATATATGTTTCGATAAATAAATTTTATAAAACGTATATTTAAATTATCTAGATTATTCTATTCATAACTTAAAGGTATTATATATTTTTTATTAATTTGAGGTAAGTATGTATTTGTTCAAAGATAACTTAATCGTTTGAAATTGAACGATTTCACTTTATTTTTCGAACTCGAGACCTCAAAACAATAATTCCTTTACCACCGAATTGTTTAGTTCGTGCAAGATATTGTATATTTAAATGTGTTCGAATTCACATTCTCACATACGTGTAATAGTAACGGTGGCAAACAGGGACTATAATTCATCTACTAATGAATAAAATATGTATGATTTGAACAAAGTGGAATTATAAGGAATTATACTAAAATTATCATATTGAATGCGGTTTTATAAATGATGCATAATTAACCATATTATGAATTGAATACTATGAATAAGTTCATGTAATTTTAAGATTTAACATTGGGTATAATTAACGTATCATAGATTATATCACTTTATTAAGTATGCTGTGAGAGGATAGTCGTGAGCAACTTAGAATCACATTGTAGGATGATGCATAATTAACCATATATGAATTGAATACTATGAATAATGTTCATGTAAATTTTATAGATTTAACATTGGGTATAATTAACGTATATAGATTATATCACTTTATTAAGTATGCTGTGAGAGGATAGCTCGTGAGCAACTTAGATCACATGGTAGGTTGGATTACTTCGTTAGATAGTGAAGTAGGTACATAATGTTTTATCATATTGATTTGTGAAGGTATATATGTTTTAAATTTTTTTAGTAATTGATAATGTACTTATATTTTTAGATGATTGTTCGAATTCAAACTTCAAGGAAAAACAACATTTTTTATTCACTGAGGCGACTCAATAATTCATATGTCACACTCATAATAAGTACGAAATCTATAACATTATGTAGTGGGATCCATAATATTTTCAGGGTGGGCATATATGTATTAGTGATAGAAATTTTTCGTATAAGACATACACAATAAAATTTAGATGAGAACCTTCAATAAAATGAACAACTAACATAAAAAAAATCAGATTTTAAGATGGACACATGGACCGAAAATACATATATCTGCCACTGATATTATGTAGGTTGACTTATTTATTATGTATGCCTTAAATGTGACACTGGTTTCAAATTTATTGATCTAACGTTTAGGTGACTTAATGTAACTAGGGACGTAAAATCAGATAATTGTTCATGTTTCAGTCGGGTCCTGTCAGGTTAGGTCAAACTAGATACAGGTCGTGTCAGGTCAACTTGATGGTTTGATTCGGATCAGGTCGGGTCTGAGTCAAATCAATTCGGGTCATTTTCAGGTTGATTTTATCATCAGATTCAGTTCGGGTTCGGATCAGGCTAATTTCAGTTCTGATTGATGTCAGTTCAAATAAAAAAGGATCAGGTCTGAATAAGTTAAATTCCAGGTTAATTCAAGTTCAAATATACTTCAGGTCGGATCTCGTTCAGATCGGGTCACATTATTGTCAGACAAAATTCAGGTCGAAGCTTCCCGAGTACGGATTGACTTTAGGTCGAGTCATTTTTTGGGTTAATTATTTTTCGTCTTTCATGAATGATGAATTGTAATTTTTAATTGTATATGATTTGGAATATATTACAAAAAAATATAAATAACTATGGGTCAATTTTGATAAAATGTAATTTTACGAACTAAATTGAACAAACATGAAATTACAACAAAATTTAAATAAACTAAACAATATGAATGAGGCATCAAATCAAAATAATTATAAAATACGAAATAAATATAAAAATGGATGAGGGATCAAATAAAAAATAATTACAAAAATATAAATAAGTATGGGCCAATTTTAGGTACAAATATAATTTTAAGGATTAAATTAAACAAATATAAATTGTAAATTAAAATTTAAATAAAATAACAAGACAGAGGGATCAAATCAAATAATTGTAAATGTGAGGAAAAATTGTAAATATATATAATTGATATAATATATATATATATATATATATATATATATATATATATATATATATATATATATATATATGTGTGTGTGTGTGTGTGTGTGTGTTGAAAACATTTTGATGTTTCGATATAACAAATTAAGTATAAATGAATTTTAAGATTTTACAAATGATTTTCTAAAGTATATTCGATTTAATTACTCGATTATCAAATTATTACTCCAAGTCTTCAAGATCAATTTCAAACCTTACTAAATGTGTAAAATTCTGTTTTATACTTAATATATTTTTGAAACAATTTTCACAAAGTATTTTGAACCAAAATCAAGCCTAAAATCAAATTTTCAAAGTGATTCACCGA